AATTATTTAATTCTTCCGTTCGTTAGTAACGCCCTTCGTTATGCATTCTTCTGTTCTTTGGGAGCAGGTCACGTGAGTTCTGTAGCATGAATTAACATAAATTGCTGTTTCTATTTTACCAGTCACCGAATGGTGTACTCTATAAACACATCACTTGCATTAAACTTCGTGCCAGCACAATGTATACAATCCTCAATTGCGTCGAAAAAAAAAATACGGGTTTCACGCAAAGAATTTTTTAATGTTTCGTTAGGTATTCAACCGTTAAATTTAAAAATAGCACCACCATGAACAGGATGAACTCCATGACCAAATTTCACTGCAAAAAGCGCTCGAATAACTGCACCTTGCAGGTATGCAATATACATTGCATGAGGTTTTAGATGTGTGGTGACATCATTAGTTCAGGTTACATTGTTTTTGTAGAATTAGCTTTTTAGTCACGTTTACTAAGCTTTTTAATGTTAATATTTCACCTCATCAGTCATTTAGTGATGGCCATTTCGTTTCCACATCTTTAATGAGAGTTATGAATAGTTGATATCCAAGCATTTTTTTTAAGATATAAGACTGGTTTTTATCAAAGGACCAACCCTAGAATGAGTTCCGGGGAGGGGGGAGATATGAACAGTCTTATAATTTGAAACATAAAATTTTCGGCTTTACAAGCCGAAACGTCAATACGACAACAAGGCATGCCATCGTGGGAGGTTTTAAATGTTCGGAACCATAGGTCGGCAAAATAAATGGAGCCCACATAGACTCACTCAGTAAATGTTCTTTTATCTTAGGACTTGTTATAGGGCCCAGACTATTGCCGGAATTTCGGTCACTTATAGGTGACCAAAAACATTTTTCCCTGCAAAACATTTTCGCAATAGACTGCTTTCAATAGAGTAAATCAGCCCGACATTTTTCGAATACACCTGAGATAGTCCCCAAAACGCCTTGGACGTTTGGCGTGGAATGACCGATCAAAATTTACGTCAATACCTATCACTTTTCGTCTCCACGGTCTCTTTCCAAGTTCGTGTTCTTCCTTTCTTGACATTCAACTTCACAGTAATTTAACAAATCCGCATCATATAAAGAAAATAGCTTGTGGTATACGCATCTCAAATCAAACTTGGACGTGCACTTACGTCTCATCTCACTGTTTTGTATCGAACATTTCAGCGTTCTCATTTCACTTACGGTATTGCCACGTGGTTGCGACGTCAAAGAAGATGGTACGTGGGTTGCTCAAGACGACACTTTTTGTTGAGTGAACATGTGCATAGGAAAGTGCAAAGTACTAGAAATTCGTGCTTTACACAGATAGCGGTAATCAGAGCATTGGTCGTTGCTAATATGATCTGCGCGAAGGTACGTCGCCATTTATACACGTAGCATCCATATCGTAGGTGTCTCAAACTTATCAGAAGATTCTAAAATAATCTAGAGTTTTCGCAGACAGCCAAGCGTCCTTTGTGCAAGGCTGTGGTGTTTAACGTTTCAAAACCACCACATGATAATTAGAGATGCTGTATAGTGGAGGACTCCAGAAATTATGACAACCTGGGGTTCTTTAACATGCACCCAAATCTGAACTCATGGGCCTACAGCATTTTCGCCTCTATTGAATATGCAGCCGCCACAGGCGGGATTCGATCGCGCGACCTGCGGGTCAGCAGCCGAGTACCTTATAGCTACTGAACCACAATGGCGGTGTGTTTGCGCAAGACAGTCACATAAAAATACAAGCGAAGTGGCAGTATAATAATGTTGCGATAAAATTTCAGCAGATGCGACAGGCTCCACTGTGGATGCTATTTTCATACAGAACCGTCAGCGGGTAGCCACGCGTTGCTAGGTAGATCGACGTCTTTGGGTATTTCGGGTAGGCTAAGTTTCTACCTAAAACATACGGCATGACGACAGCACTCACGTTGACTGTAAACTTTAACGAAACGAAGTGCACGCTTCAGTGGGATGATATGCATATCATTAAGAAGCTGTTGTGTATTTCTCAAAGGTCGAGATCCTCAATTGTCAAGCAACCCTTCCCTATCGCGTGCTGGGTGAAAGGAATATATTCATGTAATGTTTACAGCCAGCCTATAGACCGCAACAACTAATGGTGTGGGCCGGCATCACTCCTGTAAGTCTATTTAGTGATGTATCCGTTACAGTAAAAGGTAACTAAATACCTCGCTCGTTACTCTAATAAGAAAAAGGGGAACGTTTTACGGCTCCGCGTTGTATAAATACATAAAAAAGGTAACGCATTACCGTTACCGTAACCGAAAAAAAAACATAACGAATGTTACCTCTGCCGTAGCTCCGAAGTCATCAGTTTTAATCAATGTGTCTTTGCTGCAGAAACCCACAAGGAGAATTTTTAAAACTCAACTTTATGTTTCACACATACTAACCCAAGCAAGGATTATACTGAAAATGTTCAATTAACGAGAATTATTTGTACAAATGTACTGAATCTTAGCAATAAGCTTAATGATGCCTGCACATGTGATGGCTTCTGACTCTGCAGTGACACAGGATGAAACCACTTTTTTTTTTCATTGGAAGATTACACTCAAAGTGAGGTTAAATAATCCACGGTATTCAAAAAGAAACTATCACTGAAATCTCAAGAAATTTACAAATATCGGCCTTTTCTTGATCCTTCAGCACCTGCAATAAAGCAAGTCGAAATCGGCACTGTTGGTCCTAGCCGCCGGAATGGCCCGCCACGCACCAGTAGGCAATCACGGAGGCCTACATTGGTGCCTTTTTATTAGAGAGGGGGGGGGGCGGGAATCGGGAAATGTCGTGAGGAAAAGGGGGGACACTTGCAAGTTTGTGACACCAGATGTGCCTTGCAGAGATGTAAGTCCAGAAAAATCACGTCTTAAGCCTGTTTCACATGCGAGCGAACGAGCGGTGGCGGTCACAGCGATTAGCGGCGGGAGAACGCGCGGAGGCGCGTTCGTTTCACATGCGCCGCTGCTACCGCTGCTCTTCCGCGACGCCCGCCGCTCTAGCGGGCAGTGTTGTCCGCGAAATCCGCCGGTTGACCGCTGTTTTCAGTGGTATCTGAAAGCCGCGCTCTCCTCCAAGTGTCCTTCTTTTGGCGCCCCGTGCTACGAGGTTCATCATCAATAGCCGCTCGACTTTTACGCGTCTGTACACTGATTGAACTATTTGTAACACGAATCTTACAAGAAATAAGCAACGTTTGCAGTTGCTTTTCGTTTTGTCCTGGCTTTTTCAGGTATGATTCGTGGTGCGTGCTCATATAACTGACCATGGAGAAGCAAAAAAAAAAAGAAAAAGAAAGAGTTTGCTTGTATGGGTTTATTATACAGCTGTTCCGGGTAGGTGAATGCTTAGGAACTGCGAGCGTGTTTTGCGCAGCACTTCCCATGTTTCTCCGATTCATTGCTTTTGATTTCAGTGATTGAGCATTGAGACACTGAACGATGTTTCTGTCAGCCCAGTATACACAATCCGCAAAATTTATACCTAAATTTTAGATGCGGAGCATCTTATACTCGCGCCTTGTAGTGCGCCGTCCGCACCGCTTCTCGAACATTCGACAGCTGACGCGCGCGCATGCGCCGTCGCGCCGTCGCCCACTCTTCCACCATCTGTGCATCCCTTCCTCCTCTACACACCGCGCGCGCTTCACTCCTCCACCATCTGTGCACCCTTCCTCCTCTACACACCGCGTTCGACATCTACAATTCTCCTGATTCTCCAGTGGACGCGCATGTGGCGTCGCGCTTCGAGAACATTCAACAGCTGACAGTGCATGCGCCGTCGTGCTGTATATATACTCAAGGTCGGCGCTCGCTCGCTCAGTTGCCGCTCGTCGGTTGGTTTGTACGGCGCGTCGACGTCCAAGGTCGCGGTGAAATGAATTCCAACGAATCCACAAACACAATGATCGACGTCCCTTCGACCAGCGCCGCCCTTTCGCATACGTGTGTACGTGTTCACTCATTTAACACCCCCTCCTACAACCACGTTAACCAATTTAGCCACCGACCCAAGTAAGTCGCAATTTAACACCCCATTTCACAACCACGTTAACCAATTTAGCCATCGACCCAAGTAAGTCGCACTTTAACACCCCGTTAACCAATTATATGGTCCGCATCCTCCTCAGTGTTCCCCCGAGGGGAGCTGCGGGCAATTTTTTTGTACCTGTTCGCTCGAGTCAAAATAAGAGTTTTTATAAAAACTCTAAGTATAGTAAGCTTCGGCAGTAAGCTTCGGCAGGATCCGTATGGAAATACCACGAATGGCCAGTGGCGCTGAACAGCAGACGCAGAAGGAACTGCAATGATTCAACTACAGCCTCCTGTGGGCCACAATTACCGCAAATCAGCGGCTAAAACAAGAGATATCTTTAGATCTTATTTTGTAAGCCCACAGGGGGCCGTGCCTTGGCAGCGGGCGTCCGCCGGACTACGCCCTTAAAGTTTTTACAAAATGTAACGAAGTTTACATGCCAAGGTGAGCGATGACTTTTTAGCGAAAAAGTCAAGGGAAGTCAAATATACAAATAACGAGATAGCCCACATTCAATTTTCATTCTTTCTTTTTTTAAGAGGGGGGGGGGGGGCATGTATCAGCTCATATTTTGTGACATACCGTGTTTTCTTTTCATTGAAGTTCGAGTGTCGTTTCACCTTAGTTATATTGTTGTATAGTACACCACACTCCATCCCAGTATTATTTTATATGTTATGTTTAATATTTTATTTCTATGTTTCTGGGGCTACTGACGTGGCTTCGGAAATCGAGTGTTTATGCATCAACACCTGTGTATTGCCGCTAAGCAAACATAAAATATTACTGGAAAGTACATTATCTATAATTTCATGCAGAGTGTCATATTTGCCTATACAGAAAGTTCAGTTTGAACACCTATGTGCTTGAATTGGCCATTCAATAAATACAGATACGGACGCATGAAGTTCACTGTCTAGCTCTATTTTATTTTCAATCTGCACTCACCAATCGTATGAACGCAGTGAAAGAGGACGGCGCCCCTCGCTATAGGTGGAGCAAATATGGAGTAGATCCAGCTTCAAATTTGTGAACATTTCTTGTGGCGTGCTTTGCAGGTATGGTTTCAAAGACAAAAGAAATAACCCGTTAGCGTCCATCGGCTTGTGAGCCGCAATGACGTTGCGCACTGCGTTCAGTTCGTCATCGACAGTTTCCAATTCTCTTTTTCGCTGCTGCTTTGACCTTTGTTGTGGCGTCGATGAAACTTCCTCACTTTCTCTTGGGCAGCTGGCAGCCTGTGATGGATTGGAAAGTGGTGGATTGGAAGGCGGTAGATTGCAGGGAGGCGGTAGGTGGAGTGGCGGATTAGGTGGTGTTGTAACCCGTTCTGATACGCTAGGTTTTTGGAATATAAGTTCAAACGGATTTCTTGTGGCGGGGCAGTTATCAACATCGGAACCATTCCGGAAAGCTTGCGATGGGAGGTCGAGTGGCTCCACAGGCAAGGATGTTGGAACCACTGTTTCCTCGCTGGCATCCATGTTACTGATGCTCCTGAAAGCAATGTATAATTCAGTAAATAAATGCACTATACATTACAAAGGCGACAGCAAGCATACGAGTACTATGTTACATTGGCTATTTAAAACTCGTGCTTAATATTGCCACCTGATATTTACGATTACGTCACGTACCACCTAGGTTCCAATACGTCTCTGAGGAAAGTCATCTGTTCAGTGTGCGGCCAATATGCTGTCTTCGATGGAGCTGCAGCACCGCTCTTTTTGACTTTTTTTTCTTCTTTTATTTTTTTCCTGAATGTGTCCTTGAGGTTCTTCCAACGTGCTTGTAGTTCGTCTGCTGTCACTGAATAAGAAAAATTTCACATTAGAGCAAATCTTTTAGAATAATATATGCCTGGCATATATTATTCTAATATATATGCTGGAAATAATAATAATATATGCCTGGAATAATATATGCCTACTTTGAAACTATAAGTTAAAAAAATAAGTCTTGTCACGAACAACGTGTACGAAAAGAAAATGTTCACGAACGGTAGAGAAATAATCCCATGTGACACGTGACGCATCTCGTTCCTAAATTTTATAAAAGCAAATGGGAACGTGTGTGAGCATTCAAAATGATGAATTGATGGACTTTAGTGCCACCCCATAGCTTTATGCTTGGTTCTTCAGTTATGCACACACGCACACATGGTCGTATACATGCAAAAAGACATTGTTTACTTACCAGATTCATCGACTTCTTTAAGAATCTCGGCAACTTCTTCCAAGAGGATCATCTTCTTTTGCTTATTCCGGAAATGTTTACTCTTTACGTCCCAAAGAATAGGTCGTTTAGCAACTTCAGCAATCAACAACTCATTGAAAGTAGCGCGAGACATTTGTGGGCTGGGGAGAGGACGGATGTCGTCTGCTACTCAGTCGGAGCGAGTTGTTCTGTAGAACCAGTTTCTCGCAGCGCGCGCGTCAACTTCTCGACTCCACGCCCGTCATCACGTGTCAAACGACGTCACTGGTCGCTCTGCCGCTTGTGCCGCAAGCGAATTTTTCCAACTCGGGCGAATTTCACAAGGGCGTCTAGTCGCCGCGGTAAAAACCTGTTTTAGCCGTGCGCGGCGGCTGTCGCTCCGCTCTTGGACCAAAATCGCTTGCATGTGAAACGGGCTTTACAACACACATCTTGCAATAGCAGCCTTTTTTTAAAATATGTTGCAGGTTTTATTTTTGTTAATATAAGAATTTAAATCATGCCTAGAAATCAAATATACAAACTGTGATGACGTTTATTCGAGCCGAGAAGTCGCAACGAGGTCGCAACGGAAAGTGGGCGTACGGCCAGTCTGACAAAGGCGGCACAAACTCTCGCGCAAGCAAAGCACGGGCTTTTCGTTGTCTTCCGAAGGCGCATACGCGTTGGTGCGTATGCTCCACTACAATACCCCCGGGGTGAAGGGTAGCCATCCTGGCGACTCAGGGAGTAGGCACAATGAGGGGGTCGTAGTAGGGCTTGAGACGGTCGACGTGTACGGTCTCGCGTCCTCGACGGCGCAAATCTGGTGATTGTGTTAACGGCTCGATGATGTAATTCACCGGGGAGGTCGCGTCAATGACACGGTACGGGCCATGGTACCGGGCCAGAAGTTTAGAAGACAGGCCAGGAACGTGCGGGGGCGCCCAAAGCCACACAAGGGAGCCAGCACGAAATGTAGGAGCTATGCGGTAAGCGTCGTCGTGTCGAGTCTTTTGTAGACCTTGAGCCTCACTTGTCAGAGACCGAGCCAACTGACGGCAGTCTTCAGCGTATCTGGCGACTTCCGAAAGCGGGGAGCACTCAGATGCATCAGGGCGGTACGGTAGTATAGTGTCGAGTGGGTGGGAAGGTTCGCGGCCGTACAATAGAAAGAACGGGGAAAAACCGGTAGTCGCTTGCGTCGCGGTGTTCTAAGCGAAGGTAACAAAGGGCAATACAGCGTCCCAGTTAGTGTGGTCGGAGGAGGTGTACATCCTCAGCATGTCGCCAAGTGTGCGGTTGAACCGCTCAGCAAGACCATTTGTCTGTGGATGGTATGCGGTAGATTTACGGTGGATAATGTTGCATTCAGCGAGGATAGCTTGGATGACCTCCGACAGGAACACTCGACCCCTATCACTGAGTAATTCCCGCGGAGCACCATGGCGTAGAATGAAGCTGCGGAGAATGAAGAGTGCAACTTCGTGGGCGGTCGCTGCCGGTAGAGCTGCAGTCTCAGCGTAGCGTGTGAGATGATCGACTCCGACAATAATCCACCGGTTTCCAGAGTTACTATATGGGAGGGGGCCATAGAGGTCTATACCCACGCGGTCGAATGGGCGAGCCGGGCACGGGAGCGGCTGTAACATGCCAGTAAGGTGTCGCGGAGGTGTTTTGTTCTGTTGGCAAGTGGTGCAAGACTGAACGTATTTCTGCACAAAACGATACATTCCTCGCCAGTAATAGCGTTGGCGCAGCCTTTCGTAGGTTTTCAGGACACCTGCGTGAGCACTTTGGGGATCTGCATGGAAATTCATGCAGATGTCAGAGCGCATATGAGTTGGGACAGCAAGGAGCCACTTCCGACCACCAGGCGTGTAGTTGCGGCGGTACAGAATGTTGTCACGTAAGGCAAAGTGGGCTGCTTGCCGGCGCAGCGATCTCGTGGAAGGGACAGGAGACGAATTGGTAAGGTAGTCGACTAACAAGGCAAGGTATGGGTCTTTACGCTGCTCCGAAAGCATGTCAGTGCTGTCGAGTGGTGACAAGGTGGTAAAAGGGGGTGACAGAGAAGCCACATCTGGTGTTAATGGCGATCGGGAAAGTGCATCGTCGTCCGCATGCTTGCGACCGGAACGATATACGACACGGATGTCGTATTCCTGCAATCGAAGTGCCCAACGGCCCAGACGTCCGGACGGGTCTTTCAAGGAGGACAGCCAACATAGAGCGTGGTGGTCGGTGACCACGTCGAAAGGACGGCCGTAAAGGTACGGGCGAAACTTCGTAAGCGCCCAGATTATGGCCAAACACTCCTTCTCTGTCACGGAGTAATTCAATTCAGCCTTCTTAAGAGCGCGACTTGCATAAGCGACTACGTATTCGGTTTGGGTGCCTTTCCGTTGTGCCAAAACTGCGCCAAGACCAACGCCGCTTGCATCAGTGTGAACTTCTGTGGCAGCAGTGGGGTCGTAGTGGCGAAGAATAGGTGGCGAGGTCAGCAGGCGGCGCAGCTGGTGAAATGCGTCGTCACATGCAGGTGACCATGCTGATATACCTTTGCTGTTGGAAAGCAGACTAGTCAGAGGTGCAATGATGGACGCGAAGTTGCGCACGAAGCGACGAAAGTAAGAGCAAAGACCAACGAAACTTCTTAGGGCTTTCAGTGATGTGGGCATTGGGAAGTCAGCGACAGCTCGAAGCTTATCGGGGTCCGGAAGAACACCGTCTCTTGTGATGACGTGTCCCAAGATGGTTAGTTTTCGGGCTGCGAAGTGGCACTTCTTGGTGTTAAGTTGTAGGCCTGCAGAAGCTAGACACGTCAGAATCTCGTGGAGACGACGAAGATGTGTCGGGAAATCAGCTGAAAAGACTACGATGTCATCTAGGTAACACAAGCAAGTTTTCCACTTGTGGGCCCGCAATATGGTATCTATCATGCGTTCAAACGTCGCAGGCGCGTTGCAGAGCCCAAATGGCATGACTTTGAACTCATACAGGCCATCCGGCGTTACAAAGGCTGTTTTAGGGCGATCACATTCAGCCATTGGCACCTGCCAATACCCAGAACGCAGATCCAAGGATGTGAAGTACTCGGCGCCTTGTAAATAGTCAAGAGCATCGTCTATTCGTGGAAGCGGGTAGACGTCTTTCTTTGTAATCTTGTTTAAGCGGCGATAGTTCACGCAAAATCGAACGGTGCCATCTTTTTTCTTTACCAGAACCACGGGTGACGACCAAGCGCTTTGAGAAGGCTGTATGACTCCACGTTTAAGCATGTCATCTACTTGCTCCGTAATGACGCGGCGCTCTTCGGCAGAAACGCGGTAAGGACGCTGTCGCAGAGGCGAATGTGAGCCGGTGTCAATAGTATGAGTGACAGTCGTGGTGCGGCCCAAAGCAGGTTTCTGAAAGTCGAAAGAAGAGCGAAACTTGTTAAGGAGAGCAACAAGTTGGCTGCGATGCGAGGGGGGAAGGTCTGCGTCAATAGCATTGTCGAAGGCTGGTGAGCTTGATGGCTCAGACGCCTGAGTGATTGCGGCAATCTGACATGGCGTTTCGTCGGGAAGAATAATATCATTGATATGGTCGACAGGTTGCACATATCCTAACGTTTCACCACGAAGCAAGCCAATGGGGTAGTTGCAGTGGTTGGTAACCAGCATTACGGTTAAACCAGACGCAATCGTAAGAACGGCAAATGGGAGCACGATGCCCTTGCGTTCAGTAAAAACAGGGGATGGCGTAAACACCACCGTGGCGTCAGGTTGCGCCACACATGAAAGGCTAATAGGGACTGAAGCTTCCGGAGGCAAGGTGATGTCGTCGTCAGCGATGAGTTTGCAGAGCAGTGGTGAATGGTCGGTTGGTGGAAATTCACAACTTGGCACTAGGGACACTTCCGCACGGCAACAATCGATGATAGCTTCATGACCTGATAAGAAATCCCAACCCAGGATGAGGTCATGAGAGCAAGATGGTAGTACAAAAAATTGGACGATGTACAAAACGTCTTGGATGACGACGCGCGCCGTACACACAGACGAGGGCTGAATGCGTTGCGCGCTAGCCGTGGACAGCACGACGCCACAGAGAGATGTGGTCACTTTCTTCAGTTTGCGACAAAATTTTGCGTTCATCACCGAAACGGCGGCCCCAGTATCAATTAACGCTTGTGTGGCGACTCCCTCAACATTGACATCAACAACATTTCGCGGCGAAAATGGAGGCCTTGATAATTGCGCAGAAGTTGCAGTTCTTGCCTCTGGAACTGCACTGATTAGTTTCCCTCCTCAGGAGGTGGTCTACGACGCATAGGAGATGGCGATCGGCGACGAGGAGATGGGAAACGAGAAGTCGATGGGCGACGATCCGAGTCAGAGTGCCTTTGTTCGTATGCAGACGTGGTGGCCTGCTGCGACGCATAGGTAGGAGTTCCAAAGGAGGCGTACGCAGGTGTGGGACGGCGGCGGCAGTAGCGTGCAATGTGGCCAGCGATGCCACACGCGAAGCAGATAGGACGGTTGTCATGGGTGCGCCACTCATTAGATGGACGGAAAAAGCGAGGTGAGGGCCTGTAAACCGGAGGCGCTGCCGGAGGAGGTGGAGCCGATAAGGATACTGGTTGCGGTGGGGGTCGCGCAACCACAGCTGCGTAGCTGAGAGGTGAAGATGGTGCAGGTGGTGCGTAGCTGACAGCTGAGAGATTAGATGCTGCTGAAGTGCATGCGTAAGGGGCCTGCACTGTAGGTAGGAAGGACATCGCAAATTTCAGTGCGTATGGCCTGCTGCAGTGTCGAAGGCAGACTTGCGGTGGGCGCGTCGCTATGCGGCAGCAGGGAGAGCTGTCGGGCAACTTCCTCCCTGATGAAGTCTTTGATCTGGTTGGACAGACTTTCTTGGCGAACGTTGACATTTGCGAGTGCGACAGCCGAGATCGAATCTGGTGGTGAGACACTCTGTCGGGCGATGGAACGCTGACGGCGTAATTCATCGAAGCTCTGGCACAGGCTTACGAGGATTGCCACCGAGGTCGGGCTTTTCGCTAGCAACATCTGGAATGCGCCATCCTCAATACCCTTGAGAATCTGCCGAATTTTCTCTTCTTCGGGCATAGATGGGTTAACACGCTTGCAGAGGTCGAGCACATCCTCAATGTAACTCGTAAACGTTTCGCCAGGCTGCTGGGCTCTGTGG